GAGGAGGAGGAGGAGGGCAAAAAGAGGATGCATCAGATCAGACTCTGACTTTTCTTTTTCTTTCTTTCTTTCTTTCTTTCTTTCTTTCTTTCTTTCTTTCTTTCTTTCTTTCTTTCTTTCTTTCTTTCTTTCTTTCTCTTTCCACACAGTATACAGAACACCACAAATATTTCCCTCTATAAGAAAAAAAAAACATCTTACCTTTCCAAACTTGTCCCTGTTCGTGTGACTCTATGAACTTGGGGTTCCTCAGAATAATCTCAGCTCGTCACGTTGACGGCCTGAGATTAAAACATAAACAACAATCTGACAGAGTTTTGTACGTGGTCTCTGCTGTTCAACTGTTTAAAGGAGCGGACTTTTTATTTATTTTTAATTTCTCCTGTTTCTGTTTCTGCCCGGACTCTGATGCGTGTTGAACGGACCTCACGCGCCACCTTTTGGACGCAGCAGGAAAAATCCTGCAGGTGTTCTCTCTCCATCCTGCAGAGCATGTGTGTGGCCTGTTTCTTTGTGCTTTTTGAAGCCAYCTTTGAACAAACTGGACTGTTTTTAACATGTCTGTTTCCCAGTCTTTGACTGTTCAAGCAGTCAACTTYAGCCCTGTAAAAAATTAAACAGTAATAACAGTTTAAAAAAGTTTACTTAAATAGATTTCCAGATGTAACATGCAAGTCTGAAATGCAGGTCCACACTCAATGTAAACAAAACACTTTTATTTACATAATTTGCTGAACAAATTTAATTGTAAACACATTTTTTTTTTACATCTCCATCTTTTCCACTGTGATGATTGTTGACCTATTTTTTTGGTCACTTTTATTGTTTCTGTATGGAAACAAACATCTATTCAAAGTTAACTTTAAAAATAGTTGGCGGCTTTTCAACATGCAAACTTTAAATTCGAGGACAAATTATCAATTAATTTGAAAATAAAAAAAAACATTTCTTATGAATTACTTTTTGATTTGTCTTAACATCARGTTCATTTATCTTCAGGTTTGAACCTAAAAGCCACAGGTTCTTTTGTTTTGCAGCCAAGCCGTTGCCCCGTAAATGCCGGATCCTCTCAGAAAACAAATACAGGCCACTGTTTTTACCCAGGTGACGGTACGGCCTCCTCTCTGCTCAGATGGTGAAGTGCGTGAAGCCTGCACGAAGAGAAAAAAAGACAGTCCAACTTGTTGGGGGGTATACGAGGCATGATATGATGCATCTTCAAATCCAAGTCTAGCCCATAAATATTTGAAAAGGAGAGTGCACGAAAATCAACATTTTTGTTACATTAAATTAACATGTGTTCTTCCCCCTGTTCTGCATGGTTAATTAGAGAACACCATTCAGTCAGTGAGTGAGGATGAGTGCGTGGGGGGTGCTCTGATTACCCAGAGCAGGTTTTCTTAAAGGTGGGCCGCTGATTCACGTTTAGAATACAGCTGTTAGTTTTCTCAACAAGGTTTGACAATGGTCTAAATTTTAGAAGAGGCACATTTTAAAAGTTCTTCTTTTAAACCTTTGACGACTTAAAGTTAACAACAGCTGCTCCTTTGCTTTAATTCCTTTAATCCTCATGATTCTGCTTTTACTCACTCTGCAAATGCATTTTATTGATTATTCCTGACACATTTTCAGTTTATAATAAAGCAGTGTACCTTTCAAAACACTTACATTCTAAGATTAGAATGAAWAACTGCAGTTAGATAGGCAGATCGTTAAAACAAGATGTTATTTTTAAAAAATGTAAATAAAATAAGGCAACTTTTAAGCATTRATTGACGTCGTTGTTCATTTAAAGCAGTGTCCAGTGCTTTTCTACAAAAAGAATATGCTTGGACTTTTGCAACAGCAGCTAAGATTAGAAAATGTATAACGTTTAAGATCTTCAATAATAAACACATGAATACATTTGGAAAAAATAAAAATTAGCACACCGACCTCTACCAGTGAGACCATCATGCTCCCTGGCAAGATGTGCTCACAAGCAAGGCCCACATCCACAAAACCAACACAACTCACAGAACGCCAGCGTGTGCAATTAACTCCAACAGTATTTGCATTCATGTAAATCATCTCCCTCCCGCTTGGACTTGTGATGTGGAAAGCTCTGTTCTCGTTAGTTGACCCAAATCTCTTCCTTGTAACTCTGGGTGTCATCAAAGTTTAGTCAGGATCTAATATTTCCTTTCAAGTTAACAGCAAACCACTGATTAATCGTGTAGAAATAAGGCGTGCAACATGTCAATTTTAATTATAGACTTCTCAGTGATGTCATCACGCCGTGCGTGTCAACAATAATACAGCACAAACGTATACTGATTAATATACATTAAACTGTCATCTGAGGAAAATGCTTGTTGTTTAGAAGAAACAAGGAAAAAGTGAATAACTCAGAGCAAAGTCTTCTTTTTTAAACTATTCTGGTGTTTCAGCAAAGCTATTTTGTTCCTATTAAACTCCAAAAGAACAAATCCTCTTTTGCTTATTGTTGATTTAAACACAAACATGTTTCATTGTTCTGGATGCTAAGTTTATTGCCGTCACACTTTAGTTCTTACAATTAAATACTAAAACGCTTATTATAATTTGGTACATTTGTGTGTGTGAAGCTGCTAGATTAAAGAGAAGGCCCAGGGGCATTTGGTTCATTTACAAAGCAATTGCTTTTATGTACAAAAAGCCCAATTCACTGTAGGTATTGTAAAAGCTTTCCGTTTAGGGAACATGAAAATGCTCATTTATTGTTTGAAACAAGAAAGCACCTTCTCAAATCATCAAATAATACCTGATCCTTTCTACTAAACATTACTTTCTTTCTATATTGACCAATATTATATAATCATTTAGGCTAATCAACTGTATAATGCAACAATTTAAAAGCTAAAAAATAGGCATTAAGTCTGATTTATTTTGAAAGCCTGCAGCTCGTTCATCGTGGTGCAGCACGAGTGCCATTCAGCCTCCCCTCTATTCTTTTTACAGCGTGTATGCACATACGATGGGAAGAATATTCAATGATTCCTCACTCTTAAATAATTTACCCAATTCCATTTCTTACACATTAAAAAACGAACCGCGTGTGGGACTTGGAAAAATGATAAAACAGCATAAAATACTATTTTGAAATCAAAGCACCTATTGCATCGGCGTTCTTGGTTTTGTATTTGCACAATTGGACTACAATCTGAGATCCCAACAGTGAGCTGTGTTCCCATTCTGGTTTAATCATCAAAAAGCCAACGGGAAGGAACAATAAAACTTATCTGAGTGAAAAAAGGTATCACTGGGAATTTCCTCTGCTATGCTAAAAACTGTGAAAAGCTTTGCGAACAACATAGACCTGAGAACAAGGCCTGACTCCCCAGCATGGTGTCAAAAGGCTCCCTCTATCAATCAAAAGCAAATAGGAGAAAAAAATCCCAAAGCTAGAGTCAAATCACAGTCAATTAAAACTAAATACAAACAATGACAGGAGGCTCTTCTTCTAGGATTTCAGATGAGGCGTTTTATTTACTGCTACTTATCATCTTTTATTTACACGTTGCTAAAAAGACTCAAACAAACATTTCTGACAGGATATTGAGCAGCACTCTTTCCTCCTCTGGAAAAAAAAGGCATTTCTGAAGCCAGTAAGTATTTAGTAGCGGATTAATGCGGGAGTCCTTAATTGCGTTTAACAGAACAGGAACCAATTAGCATAATAGGCCCTTTTCATTCCCTTTGAAGTCCAAGAGCATAGAATAACAAATGTATACGAACCACCAGCCATACGTCAATACATGGAAATGCCACAATCCTCAGTGGAAAGGCTGGGGTGATTTTTTTTTATTTTTTATTTTTTTTGCAGGAGGAGGGAAAGGCATTCACTTTTATTGCAAAATAAGCACTATAGAGGATACAGTTGGTCTTCTAGCAAGCAGAGCCAGGAGGCTCTGTGGGGCCCCCTGATCCTGGAGGAGAGCTGGATGCAGCTGCTCAGGGAGGTGCATCCATTCTCTCAGGTGTTTTTTCTTTAGACTGCAGCTCAATGCGAAGGAGTGAAAATAATTACTCTCCAATTAAAGATAAAGACGTCACTTGGGAGGGAGCTGAAACACAAAAGCCTCGCTGAGGAAAAGGATGTTGGGGTTTGCGGTTCATCAATGCGGGGGTGAGGAGGTGGGTGGGGGGATGGCGTTCTCATGATAACATAAATATGTGTGCAGAAAGCTGCAGTATTTAGCAACAGCAGCTTACTTCCTCTTTCTTTTTAAAATTCAATTCCATTTTATTTTCCTTTTGAACCTGAAGTTCAATACATGTACTTCTCAGAGGTTTCTTTTACAATTGCAATGAAGACATAGTTCATGATTTAAAGATATGAATTCTGTACTTCAGAATCCCGAGTTATTAGCATCTACCTTCTCGGTTGAAAATACATGGAATTAAAAATGCCTTTTGAGATGGAGAAAGCTTTGAACTTAAGAAACATTTCAAGAAGCTTCTCTCTCTTCCTTTTTTTTTTTTTTTGTATTGAAACTTCCCATCCTTTGAGCATGCCATAGTTTGGTTTCTTTTTCAAATAATAGAATGAAGTTTACTAGGTCAAGGCAATCAATGTGAAAGTTCAAAGAGAATCTTGGAGATATGAAGAGTCCACAGTTTGTACTTTTTCTTTGCACATGATTTGAATAAAAATATAGTTGCTAAACAGCGTTAATGAAGAATAGCTACAAGAAATGGTTGTTTTAGGATTATTAGTTTGTCATGTGACATGTCAGCAGGAACTCAGTGACTGCTGTCAAAATCTCATGTTGTTTTCCATATTATATAAATATAAAAGCCATTATCATTTATAACAGAAGAAAACTTATGTTATTTGGATTTCATTACTGAATCAGAAGGATATTTCACCAAACCTAGACAGAGGATATTAAGCCAAAATTTTCAGTTTATCTTCAAACATTATATCCTTGATTTGGTTTTACAAAAGCATAGACAAATGGAGATTGATTTTACACAAAATTAACTTTTATTTAGTCATGTAAAAGTGATAATACAGAGCTGTTCGCATTAGTGTGAGAAGCAGATGAGGATCAGCACCCATGGTTTGCAGGTGGTAAAGGGTGGACAACACTTTCTGGGTTTGGAGTGAGTTGTTGACTCAAGTAGAAGAGTTTAAAGATCTCAGGGTTTTGTTCACGAGTGAGTGAAGACTGAAGCGTGAGACTGACAGATAAGGGTATCTCCTGGACAGTTCTGTAGGATGGTCTTCCAGGCATGTCCAWCTGGGAGGAAACTTGCAGGGAAGACCCAGGACACGTTACAGAGACTGTATCTCTCAGCTGGACGGGGAACACATTGGAATCCTCCCAGAATAGCTAGAAGAGGTGGCTGTGGGAAGAGACATCTGGACCTTCCTGCTTAAGCTGCTGCCCCGTGATCCAAGTTCTGAACCATGGGCAAATCCCCCCTAACCCCCCTTTACAAAGGGGGGTTAGGGGGGTTATGACCCTCACATTAATTTGATCCAGCAAATATACGCCCCTGACCCCCAAAATAAAATGGCATCATTTGCTCTAACCCAGTAAGAATGAACAAGTTAAGTACACAGCTACAACTCTCTTGTTGTCTTTGCGTAAATTTGACCCGATTTCAGCATTTACGTTGTCATATAAGGTTTGAGTAACAGGTGAAAGTTACATGCAGGGTTTCACAATATGACTGATTTGTTGAATCATGTTGTCATTATTGTAGTGCACCAGGTAAATACATACTCTTGGAAAATCGAGAAATTTAAGTATGTTGTATGAACAGAGCTTCTTAACCTATGGGCCACGGCTCAATTGAGCGCCTCAAAGGATCAACAGTTTTTAACTTTGGGCCGCAGAGGGCCGTGGGACCGCATTGATTTTGAATAAGGTGCATAGCGGTAGTGCACCACTCAGTTGTTTAACAACTTTTTTAATATATAGAAGAACCTTAGAAACCTGCCGAGAAAGAAAACATATTTTAATTAACAGTAGAAGGAAAAAATGAAAGTAACTTATCAAAAAACACCAAAGTTTGTCACTAATATGAAGAGCAGCTACTGTTTTTACCATGCAATAT